TTGTGCTTTGGGAGTTGTCTATTGTTTCTAGTCTGTCATTATACAGGATTCTTGTTCAGCACGCGTGCAGTGACCACGCTTGGCTGACTTCCGAATGCCCACCGAGATATTCCCGTCACGAGTTGGTTTAATTATTGGCTTGCATTAAACCTATGAAAAAATGATATTTTTTTAATAGTAAGTAGATTTAGTGTGTAGCATTTCTTGATTTTTTTGCAAAGGCACAAGAAGCACGATAATTGATTAAAAATTGTTTGTTACACCTCTATGTATCACGCGATGGACTGTCTCACTGTACCAAAATTATCATATCTCATAGAATCTCATCTCATAGTTTATTAGATACAATCCGTGTAAAGTTTGCTTATCATTTTCGCATAAATTATGACCTAACTTTGGAAACCGCTGAATTTCTGGAATTGGGTCTTTGCGATTTTGGTGAAACTCTGTTGAGCGCAAGGCAATAATGCGCACTATGTGTAGCTTAGAGATTTTCACGGAAAAATGCCGGCAACAACAGATTTTCGACTCAGACCTCAAAGGGGCGTGGCATTATAACCACGTGACATTTACTCCGATCACCAAAAAGGTTATGTTATATTGTAGATTGATCTATATGTTATCCATTCTATGTGTTAGACTTACGATAAAAGTAAAGGTAGGGATACCAGAGAGCTTCAAAGTAGGATGGTACCCCCCCCAAAAAAAAACTGGGTCGACTCACCTTAAGTGGTTTTGAACTATAATCTCATTCGGTGCCCCTGTTTTATATCTTGCTATACTTCCAAGTTAGATTTGAATTAAATATTAACCTATTTAACATGTGTTCATTAATTTATTTAGGACATTTCTTTTACCAAAGTGTACAAGAATGCCCCAAGTGTATTTGTATCAGCGAATCACACTTCCAGTGGGGGAGGCCTGGATCCAATGCACAACTCCATAACCGCTTGGGTTGAGGTGAGTCAGGGATCTGCGTAGTTAAGGGCTATAAAATAAACTTTGAGGCGTTAGCGCCCGCGTTGGCGGTGCGGGTATTTGTTAACTAACTGAATTGTTAAACTTTCTGTCACGGCAATAAACCATTTAAGGATTATTTCTAGGAGGGGTGCAATTAAGTCATAGCGTTGAAAATAAGTGACCCAACAGGCAGTGTGCATTTCTTAGTTTCATTCTCATTAATACCAGCGCTTTTGACTACATTAATTTATTAAGCAACGCCAATGACGTATACCTTAACCCTAATAAACTAAAGCCTCGTCCAAACAAACGCAACACTGTTGGCCAACAACTCCCAACATTGTTGTTAGCAGAAGTCAAAGAAGAATAAAGACCAAGATGTAATTCAGGTTCCTGGTACTTCATGGTGTAGCAAGCTAGTTGCTTGAACACACTCCAACACATACAACAATGCTGGGAGTTGTTGGCCAACAATAGTGTGTCCGGTTAATTGCACGGGGCTGAAAACTGTAGTTAATACAGTATTAACTAAGAAGACTAAGAAGAAATGATTAAGGAATTGTGCATTATTGTGCTCTTATCGTCACATATCTCATATTTCAGTATATCAACAGGACAGGAGCTCGAGTGTGTTTAAAAGAGTTGTACGAGTCTAAGTACGACCCTCTCTCAGTATCATACACTGTCTTATCAGGTAAGAACGTGTTTATGGAATTCTCGTTTTAGTAACACATAGGTTTCACTGATCACTCACAACTAGTTCATTATGAATGCATAAAGAGATACTGGCTCAGATACGAGGGTCATTTCATTAACAGAGGAAGGCGATCATTTTAAATATTAGCTCCCTGGAAGTTGCCATTGATTATCTCATGTACAAACTGCTTTCAATTTGGCGTCGTCAGTTTTATTTTCCTCTTTTCCTCCTACTAAGCGTATCGGCCTCACAAGCAGTTGGGATGATGTTTGTGAAGTTGCCTCGTCCCCAGTCGCTAGCGTTGCGCGTTGCTTTCCTCCATTTCTTGCGCTTCTCGATTGTTCTGTTGTCGCCTCTATAAAGGCCTGGGAAAGCCTGTGGAAAAGGCACTCTTTAAGGGACAAATGCGGGGGATTTCTAAACTGCACAGTCTTTTATATCTTTATCACAGATATTTGCCAGCCAAGATGGAGTTATTTTGGTGGCTACTGTTACTTCACAAGTCGAGCATGCGCCTCGTGGCAATTACCTTCTATAAGCCCAAACTTGAGTAAACATTGAAGATTTTTAGCGTTTTGGCTGAGTTTGTGCTTTGGGAGTTGTCTATTGTTTCTAGTCTGTCATGATACAGCATTCTTGTTCAGTACGCGTGCAATGACCACGCTTGGCTGACTTCCGACTGCTCACCGAGATATGATAATTTAGTATAAGAAAATGGAAGGGATTCCCGTCACGAGTTGGTTTAATTATTGGCTTGCATTAAACCTATGAAAAAATGATATTTTTTTAATAGTAAGTAGATTTAGTGTGTAGCATTTCTTGATTTTTTTGCAAAGGCACAAGAAGCACGATAATTGATTAAAAATTGTTTGTTACACCTCTATGTATCACGCGATGGACTGTCTCACTGTACCAAAATTATCATATCTCATAGAATCTCATCTCATAGTTTATTAGATACAATCCGTGTAAAGTTTGCTTATCATTTTCGCATAAATTATGACCTAACTTTGGAAACCGCTGAATTTCTGGAATTGGGTCTTTGCGATTTTGGTGAAACTCTGTTGAGCGCAAGGCAATAATGCGCACTATGTGTAGCTTAGAGATTTTCACGGAAAAATGCCGGCAACAACAGATTTTCGACTCAGACCTCAAAGGGGCGTGGCATTATAACCACGTGACATTTACTCCGATCACCAAAAAGGTTATGTTATATTGTAGATTGATCTATATGTTATCCATTCTATGTGTTAGACTTACGATAAAAGTAAAGGTAGGGATACCAGAGAGCTTCAAAGTAGGATGGTACCCCCCCCAAAAAAAAACTGGGTCGACTCACCTTAAGTGGTTTTGAACTATAATCTCATTCGGTGCCCCTGTTTTATATCTTGCTATACTTCCAAGTTAGATTTGAATTAAATATTAACCTATTTAACATGTGTTCATTAATTTATTTAGGACATTTCTTTTACCAAAGTGTACAAGAATGCCCCAAGTGTATTTGTATCAGCGAATCACACTTCCAGTGGGGGAGGCCTGGATCCAATGCACAACTCCATAACCGCTTGGGTTGAGGTGAGTCAGGGATCTGCGTAGTTAAGGGCTATAAAATAAACTTTGAGGCGTTAGCGCCCGCGTTGGCGGTGCGGGTATTTGTTAACTAACTGAATTGTTAAACTTTCTGTCACGGCAATAAACCATTTAAGGATTATTTCTAGGAGGGGTGCAATTAAGTCATAGCGTTGAAAATAAGTGACCCAACAGGCAGTGTGCATTTCTTAGTTTCATTCTCATTAATACCAGCGCTTTTGACTACATTAATTTATTAAGCAACGCCAATGACGTATACCTTAACCCTAATAAACTAAAGCCTCGTCCAAACAAACGCAACACTGTTGGCCAACAACTCCCAACATTGTTGTTAGCAGAAGTCAAAGAAGAATAAAGACCAAGATGTAATTCAGGTTCCTGGTACTTCATGGTGTAGCAAGCTAGTTGCTTGAACACACTCCAACACATACAACAATGCTGGGAGTTGTTGGCCAACAATAGTGTGTCCGGTTAATTGCACGGGGCTGAAAACTGTAGTTAATACAGTATTAACTAAGAAGACTAAGAAGAAATGATTAAGGAATTGTGCATTATTGTGCTCTTATCGTCACATATCTCATATTTCAGTATATCAACAGGACAGGAGCTCGAGTGTGTTTAAAAGAGTTGTACGAGTCTAAGTACGACCCTCTCTCAGTATCATACACTGTCTTATCAGGTAAGAACGTGTTTATGGAATTCTCGTTTTAGTAACACATAGGTTTCACTGATCACTCACAACTAGTTCATTATGAATGCATAAAGAGATACTGGCTCAGATACGAGGGTCATTTCATTAACAGAGGAAGGCGATCATTTTAAATATTAGCTCCCTGGAAGTTGCCATTGATTATCTCATGTACAAACTGCTTTCAATTTGGCGTCGTCAGTTTTATTTTCCTCTTTTCCTCCTACTAAGCGTATCGGCCTCACAAGCAGTTGGGATGATGTTTGTGAAGTTGCCTCGTCCCCAGTCGCTAGCGTTGCGCGTTGCTTTCCTCCATTTCTTGCGCTTCTCGATTGTTCTGTTGTCGCCTCTATAAAGGCCTGGGAAAGCCTGTGGAAAAGGCACTCTTTAAGGGACAAATGCGGGGGATTTCTAAACTGCACAGTCTTTTATATCTTTATCACAGATATTTGCCAGCCAAGATGGAGTTATTTTGGTGGCTACTGTTACTTCACAAGTCGAGCATGCGCCTCGTGGCTGACCGCTGAATCAAACTGTTCTACGATGAGTTCGAATTTGGTAACGGTTCACAATCAAGAAGAAAATGTCTACATTCAACACCGTCACAACGGAGAGAGATCTTGGATTGGACTCAATGACCGAAGTGTGGAGGGCTCCTTTGTGTGGACAAACAAAGAAATAAGTAGTTTTAGGTTCTGGGCCCCACAGCAACCGAATGACTGGAAAAACGAAGACTGTGTTCACACTCTTGGAGCCAAGCATGGTTACGCTTGGAATAATGTGCCTTGTCATAACTGCTACAATTATACTTGTTTTAAAGGTACGAGGCATAGTAAGATTTATATCTATGTTAATCCTCATGAACCAGAAAGGCTTCTAGACATTTTTAAAAATGCATTTAACAAGCCCAGAGCACATACAGCATTTGATTTTACGCAAAAAACGATCGAAACAGATTGCATGGAAAAGTAGCATAGCCAATCAGACTAACTGAAGTTAGAGTGCTTTCGGTATTGGAAACATTGCTGATTACCACCTACATTTTGCATAAAAAAAATGTCCATTTATACCGAAAAATGGCCGCAAACGCCTGAAATCGGAATCACAAATTGATTTAAAGAAATATTGGAAGTCGAATTTATATTCCACCATTTTGTTTAGGAAAACGTTCCGTTGGTGTTCGGCGGATATTAGGAACCTTACGAAACTACGACAACTAGGGCGACGGCAACGTCAAAAAGCCGGCAATAGGTTTAGTTAGAAAAACAACAACTCTGCACGTGCATAACGCTTTTCTGTACTGTAACATTTCTTTGCCGTCCCTGCACGACTACGACGTAAAATGACCTCAAGGTTTCTTGAGGACGGGAACGGCAAGGCGATAAATTCTGCCACCTCGGCCTGAAATCAGGTGCGGCCCCCTCTCCAGCTCCAACATAAATTCCTTTCTTTTAAGTAACTGGGAGACTTGGAATAATCGCAAAATGGTTTGAAAGGATGCGGAGTCTATTTTTCAGCGATGTTTTCATGGACGTTGCCGTTGTCGGATCGTAAGGTCCCTATTTTCCACTGGAACGACGGGAAAAGTCACGCTGACCTCTATTTACTTTTCAAGACACAGTTTTGCAAATGGTTAACGAAAATGAGTACAGGGTATAGTTAACGACCCTTTTTCGCATGTTCCTGCCTTCTGACATTTTATTTTTCCTTGCTAGTGCGCGTTGATTACCCAAATACCCTACAGTATATAAAACTGTACTTTTTAAACAAGCTTCATTAACTATGAAAAAGTCATGTCGTTTCTACAAGAAGTCTCTGCGTGCTTTCTTTTATAGACTTAGATGAATGTACCACTGGTTCGCATTCCTGTGACATCAATTCCGTATGCCAGAATACCGTGGGTTCATACAAATGCTCATGTAATGCTGGGTACACAGGAGATGGAANTTGGATGAATGTACCACTGGTTCGGATTCCTGTGACGTCAATTCTGTATGCCAGAATACCGTGGGTTCATACACATGCTCGTGTAATGCTGGGTACACAGGAGATGGAAAACCTTGCAATGGTATTTAAAAAAACAGTCGAACCTTCCTGTGAGACTAAAGAGACGGATCCAGGGGGAGGGTTGACTGGGTTGTAACTTTCCCCTCCCCCATGGGCGGTTTTCAAACTTGTCTCACTACCCAAGTCTATCCCTTACCAAAAAATAGTATGATAACTATAATATAAGTTCCCGTCCAATCGATAATTACAAGAAGACTGTAGCTATTCCTCTTCTCGACCCCTTAATCGATTACAGTAAATAAGGCACTGCAGCTGCATGATAAAGTAGGAGGCATGCTGTTCTGGGAGAAAGAAATTTCATTTCTGAAATCCCTGGGAAATTAGGTACTAAGTAAATGGAAAACACTCTGGCAGTCAACAGATAGGGAGCTTCCAAACAACCTTTTATTAGCACTTGGTGTTTGCGATGAAGATGCTTTTCCAAACATCTATCGCCCTCTGGCAAGAGAGGATAAAGGGGACAGAGAAGGCATTCCCCATACTCACCCTATTCCATAGGTAATTCGTCTCGAGTTATTTTTAGAATCGGGATAAAGTTACCTCGCGCGCTGCGTGGATGTTTCGTGGAGGTTTCGCTTGACTAAACGCCGTGCAAAACATGTCGGCCGAAAGGCAATGAAAGCGTAATGAGATTGAGAGCATTCCTGAATATTGAAGCGAAATGAATCGGCACTCACCTGGGAAAAGGGAATCGCTGGACTCTTTGACAACCCGTGAAATTAGTTTAACTCGAAGTTGTCGTAACCTCAGAGCTTTAATAAAATAAGTAATTTCGCTGGTCTATTGAAACCGGTCGTTGGTACAGTAAAGCAAGTAGGACGCCAAGTGTTATTTTTGTTGAATAATAAAAGACTTATAAAAGAATAAATATCAAACCAGAAATTGCTCTCTTCAAACTGTAAATTATAAATGAGAGAATATTCAGTATGTTAACGATTTCCCTGCTGTACTGTTAGCTCTATACAAGAGAGGAAGAGCGATTCTTTTTTAATTTCTGTTTCGCTGACACAGCTTTAGCAGAATCTTTCTGTAGTCGTTTTCGTCGAGAAAACGAATAGCAATAGCAAAATCGCTCTCCGCCATTTTGTTCTGCGTCAATTCGTGAAGGACGCGTGGCTCTGAGCGTGGGTCATCCACGCGAAACACATTCTCGCTATGTGATTGGCTGTTGTCTAATCCCCCTTAGGATCTGTGGTCTTAAAAATAACTCGAGACGAATTACCTATGGAATAGGGTGTGTTTGGGGGATGCCTTCTCTGTCCCCTTTATCCTCTCTTGCCCTCTGGTCATTGCCTGCACCCTACCGATCACAAGCGCAGAAGCTAAGCGATCGTTTTCACTGATGAAATGAATCAAGACCTGCTCTAGGTCAACAGTGCCTAAAGAGCAATTATCTGATCTCGCGGTGATCGCCATAAACTACTCCGAGAGATTCGAGGTAGACGAGATATGCCAAGCCTTTGTAAAGGCTCATCCAAGAAGCTCTTTCAAGCTAGCGCTAGTCTGTTTGAGTAAATAGGCGGGTGAAAAGAACACAAACAACTATCGTTGTTGCACTGTACTCATAGTTCTTAATACTGCCTAAAATTTATACCTCTGAAAGCAAAATGAAGAAAATCTACATATTCTACATATTTAAACATAACGCTAACCCAGGAGCTGGCTAACCCTAACCCTAACCCTCCCATCTCCCACATTCCTTTGGCCCTGGGACGTTTGCCTTGAACTCCCATACTTACAACCCCCTCTTTAAAAAAATTCTGGATCCGCCCCTAGAATACCCCTCTTCCCATAAGCGGAGATGGGATTAGAAATATAAAAAAAAATGGGCGGGGGAGGAGGGCTGACTAATCTGAAATGCCACCTGTTGTCCGATCCTCGCAAGCGAGCATCTCCAGTAAGGGATCACTAAATGTTCGTATTTTGGGTGGTCGCTAAGGGAGATTGACGATAATAATTGAAGAGAGGACAAGCTCAACACTGTCATGTCGTTAGTACATGTTGTGTTTGGTAAAAAGCCTAAAACCAGACTTTGTAAAAACAACAAACAAATAAATACACGACCTTGTCGACTATCCGATAGATATAATATCAGTGATTCTAACGCTCTACGCAATTTACTTGTTCTCATGCAGATATCGACGAGTGTTCTACCAACTCTCACAGCTGTGACGTCAATGCAGTGTGTAGCAATACGGCTGGATCGTACGCATGCGCGTGTAAAGCAGGATTTACAGGCGATGGAAAAACTTGCTCCGGTAAGCTGCTGTGACAATGTCAAAAATGACTTTCAAAACGATGTAAATGTGATTCTATGCCCCTCTATTTGCTATATTCGCTCAGTACATGAAAAAACGTCAAGAAAAAAGAAAGGAAAAAAAAAAAAAAAAAGATTGACATGACATAAATGATAAAAAAATTTCAATTCAAGTAAAACAAAACAAAACAAGCTGAAAAGAAGTTGCAGAAAACAACTAAATATAAATAAGTTTGATGGCCTCAGCCGGGGTCACTTTTACCAAAAAATATTTAATGGTATTGCAGCTGAGCTAATAGGAACACTTTGCCCGTATTATATGTTATGAAAATCGTTTTTTTTTTTATTTTTTATTCCATACTATGTCTCACTCTTAATATTTTGCTACAAGGTATTTGTAGTTAAGTGGGATTAATAACAAGAATATATGACCTTACTGATCACAAGATCCGGTGCATGACTTACAAGAAGGTTTCGATCCTCTTTTTGTTTTTCCTAGACATCGACGAGTGTTCTACCAACTCTCACAGTTGTGACGTTAATGCTGTGTGTAGCAATAATGTGGGATCTTACGCATGCGCATGTAAAGCAGGATTTANGATCCTCGCAAGTGAGCATCTCCAGTAAGGGATCACTAAATATTCGTATTTTAGGTAGTCGCTAAGAGAGGATCGACGATAATAATTGAAGAGAAGACAAGCTCAACACTGTCATGTCGTTAGTACATGTTGTGTTTGGTAAAAAGCCTAAAACCAGACTTTGTAAAAACAACAAACAAATAAATACACGACCTTGTCGACTATCCGATAGATATAATATCAGTGATTCTAACGCTCTACGCAATTTACTTGTTCTCATGCAGATATCGACGAGTGTTCTACCAACTCTCACAGCTGTGACGTCAATGCAGTGTGTAGCAATACGGCTGGATCGTACGCATGCGCGTGTAAAGCAGGATTTACAGGCGATGGAAAAACTTGCTCCGGTAAGCTGCTGTGACAATGTCAAAAATGACTTTCAAAACGATGTAAATGTGATTCTATGCCCCTCTATTTGCTATATTCGCTCAGTACATGAAAAAACGTCAAGAAAAAAGAAAGGAAAAAAAAAAAAAAAAAAAAGACAAGACAAAAATGATAAAAAAATTTCAAAACAAAAAAAAAAAAACAAAACAAGCTGAAAAGAAGTTGCAGAAAACAACTAAATATAAATAAGTTTGATGGCCTCAGCCGGGGTCACTTTTACCAAAAAATATTTAATGGTATTGCAGCTGAGCTAATAGGAACACTTTGCCCGTATTATATGTTATGAAAATCGTTTTTTTTTTTATTTTTTATTCCATACTATGTCTCACTCTTAATATTTTGCTACAAGGTATTTGTAGTTAAGTGGGATTAATAACAAGAATATATGACCTTACTGATCACAAGATCCGGTGCATGACTTACAAGAAGGTTTCGATCCTCTTTTTGTTTTTCCTAGACATCGACGAGTGTTCTACCAACTCTCACAGTTGTGACGTTAATGCTGTGTGTAGCAATAATGTGGGATCTTACGCATGCGCATGTAAAGCAGGATTTAAAGGCGATGGATACACCTGCACTGGTGAGCCGTTTAAGTCTAATGTAAAACGTTTGTTTGATATGTTTGTTTTTATTTGTACTCTTCTTGCCCTTCCAATAAAGTTTTTGGTTAGATGGGAAAAAATTACAGTAAAATGACCGCTTGGAGTAAGCGAACAGACAAGCAATAAATAAAAATAAAGTACAGGCGCCAGTGGTACAAAAGCTGGATATAGCGCCATCCAATGGATAAATCACAGTTCAGTAGATAAGTAATATATAGATTTAGCCAGGGCTAAAAGCGAGGCTCCCATTAATAAATTTATAATTTAAATCAAACAATAAACTTGTATTCCACAATTCAGTTAACTTTAGAGCACATTCGTGTGACTTTTCATGGAAAGGCTAATTGATTTTACAAAAAATAATTTGCAAGCAGCCCAAGAGTGAACCAAATCTCACATCGAGTTGATAGCCTCATAAGTACACCCAAAAACTGGCAATCATCTTCGATCACATTTATTAAGAGCCATAATGGCTCATGATCGTCTTAGATTAATTAGGCCTGGAAAAAAAATTCTGGCCGAATTTTTTGCGTTCGACAAGTTTACTTTACAAAATCTTGCCAACAAATCTGGGTGCGACTGTAAACCAACCTTTTATATCATTTATACATCACATCTGAGGTGAAACAGTACTATGAGGCACTGTTTTTATCATACAGACCTCGCACAACAGAATGCAGTATTTCACAATATTGCGATACAAATTGCTATCATTCAATATTCAGGACGATCGCAGCACGCGTGGGCTTTAGCTAAACCGTTAAAAAAAATTTTCAAAATCATCTATACGGCCAGCCGGTTCTGACTTTTGCAGTGCTAGCAGTGGCGAGTGTTTGAATGAACATTAACAGAGTTACGCTCCAACATAATAAAGAATTTATTATGTTTATTTTTTATTTTAAAACGGTTTAACGCGCGGCATTTTGAGTACTCCGGGAAGCGTTGTTCACTGAACGACTGAAAACAATCGACACAGCGATTAAAATTACAAGAGACAGTACTAACAATTAATAAAAGAAATATAATTCGGAGAAACATATACAGAGACGACAATTTTCATTCAGGAAGACAAGTATTAAAGTGTCTCTAAAAATCCTGAGTCTTCGAGCTTAAAGCTGAATTTTGTGTTTTAAGCCGGCTTCCCGGTGTTTGCTTTTTTCAAAGACGAACTCGAGGCAAGGAAATCGCTCAAACCTTTCTTTTACAGTCAGAATTATAACTAAATATTCCTTGAAACGTTTTCTTTCTATTTGCGGTGAGAAAATGTCTAAAGGCTTTTTAAAGATCTGTAAGCTTATAACAAACCTGATACGCGGTCAGATCATTGTCTCAAATCTTACAAACGTGCGTAAACAAAATAGCCGCATAAACTACGCTCGACTTCATTAAATTAGGAATAAAAAACAAACATCAAATACAATAATTACTTAGGCTTACCACTCGAGATGCAGCTCCTGAAAGGTATCAAGGAAGGCCAGTATCGCTTCAGACTTTGCAACCCTCTTACGCATTAAGCAAGGTGAAAACGAAAACGATGCCATCCGAAATCGGATTTCCGACTTTGACTCAACCAAAAACCCAATAAACAAACTAGCCATGAATAACAGAAGACTCCTGATAGAATCTGAATTTCATTTTGTACATCCAGTGGAAAAAGAAAGTTAAAAACATCACAAGTTGACACAAAACTCTGTCAGCTTCAGCTGTCAAAGTAAACAAGATTCAAGATGCTGCATAAATTTTGCGCATGAACTCACCTGTCAAATTTTGACCAATCAGAGCATAAAAATTGGACGTAGAGCGTGACCAACGCGTGAACATGGCGAGAAAAGTCAAAAGCAACTGTCTTCCCTGCCTGTAGCAGCTGGCTGAATTTTCGCGTCCGAGGTCAGTTTGAAATCAAAATTTTAATTGTGCGGCACATAAACACAACATATTTCATATGAATTTAAAAAAAAAATTAAACTTGAGCCTGCAATCATTTGAAAACAAGTACCTTGTCAGCGGATAACTTCAAAAAAATACTCGACCTCGATGGGTCGACACCTGAGCCCGCGATTCGCTCAAGTGATACTGGTCAGCGGATACCTTGTTTTGACAGCTGTCAATTGATCACATTTCCTGTGCTCCGATCCCAAACTAGCTAAATATTAATAATAATATCCATGCTAAAAAGTATGAGATTGAATATTGTTTGCGATCTAGTAAAACGATTAACTGGTCAGCGGACAGCTTCCAAATAAATTACGTCACCTCGATGAGTTGACAAATGAGCCCGCGTTATGGTCATGGGATACTGGTCAGTGGCTATCCTGTTTTGACAGCTGTCAATTGACTTTATTGTGAATGTCATATAAAAAAGATGAGGACTTGCCAACACACGCCTGAGACACCCCTCCCTTCCTTTTGATAGTCTCCCCTACCCTACCCGTACAATCTGTAGACGCGTACGTACGTACGTACGCTCGGTCAGTCACGTGACAACCAAGCGAAAAGAGGTTGACCATATTCCATGAGTATGGGGCTCTGTCCCACGCGCGCTTCGCGCGCGCGGGAGCCCCGCTATTAGGGATCAACTGCGCTATCCACTGGATAGAGATTTGTCGAGTGGATACGGTTATCCACCTTTTGAACAACTGGGGCTAGTTCGGCAAGATGCGCAAAGTCGTTAGACGTGTGTAAATGCATTTTTTTTTTGTCAAATAAGTGCAACAAAATCGATTGTTTAAACCTGCGACCAACTTTTTTTTTTTTTTTTTATCTTGAGCATGAAATAATTAAGAATCCTTCAGGAAACGGGGTAATTTCAGTGGACCAAACCCTTGTACCAGAATAATTTAAAGGATATTGCAGTCTTTTTTTACTATTTTCAAGGGCTATTAATAATCATACATTGTAATTAGTTATCTGAAATAACTGCAAAGACTATTTCTCATGGGAACCCGAGAAAATAAAATGTCAAATTTCACAACAGTTGTGAAAACACGGGTAAAATTCTGAAAATGTCATGTGTAAGATGTCTTTTTGTGAAATTTGACATATATTTTCTCTGGCTCTCATAAGAAATTACGTTTGGTGTTACATGTATTACAGATAACCAATAATTACATCTATAGCCCTTGAAATATGTCAAAAAGAATGCGATATTGTATTAATTAATCTGGTACAAGGTTTTTGTTTTTGTCCACTGAAAAATAAAATTACTCAATTTCCTGATGGATTCCGTCTTAATTCTGTTTAACTTGTTTCCTCTTTGCGAAGAAAATGGTTATACAGGTTATGATTACACTTACTTTTAATTTATTGTTCCCTTTTTGTAGATATTGACGAGTGCACCAGCGGTACTCACAACTGCCACAGTTCACTTGCTTCATGTACAAACACAGCGGGATCCTTTAGTTGTACATGCAACAGTCCTTACTTCGGAGATGGCAGAAGTTGCTATATACCATCAGGTGATAATTCCCCGAATATTACGGGGAGATGTCCATTCACTAAACCCTTTACACTCGTTAGAGGCGCATCATTCCGGGGGGGGGATCTTTCAGTAGATATTTGCTGGGTATGTGCCGCTGGCCTCTCAGAGCCGCTACCCCTTATAGTCTATTCTGTGACCAATTATAGATTGTTGAACCCATCTTAGTCACTTTTAGGCAGATATGTAATTTTCGCGATCCCAACTTAGTCACTCTCTATTTTCATGAACTGACCATTTTTTTTTTTTAAACTAAATGAAGAGCACTTTACTTTTAACCTACAATACAAACATTCTGGTACCTTTCCTAACCGTAAATACTAAGAACTGTCTTACCCCAAGAAATACGAAAATGTGAGACCCCAATCTAGTAACTCTTTTGAAGATGGGACACCATCCAGCTGCACATCCCCATTAGCCTCTTATAAGGAAGTACCCCTCCCCCCGGGACATTACTCTGACGGGGCTTCAGTTGAATGTTAATATTACCCAGATCTCTTGCCAACGAAGCCAAAAGCGAGATCTGGTCAATTAATCAAATTCAATTTTCTATTTTATTACCCACTTAAACGACCTATATAACATTATAGTGGGGGAGGGACATTAGTATTGTCATCAGCGCGCGCTACTGTGTCTGCAATATTAATTCATTCTTCACAAAATCTTTTTCTTGTCGCTCCCCCTTTTGCTTGCCTCATTACGATCCACGAATAGGTGTATCGATCATGACCAGCTTTGCACAATACAAGTCCAATTGACGAACAAGAGAATGGAAAAGTTTCCTTTTTAAGATTTCTTATATATTAAGTAAATTCTTGTATTGTAACAGTTTACTTACTAGTGACTTCTATTATGTAGGGATCGGATCGTCCATCATTCTCCTTCCCAGAGCCTAGCTTCGACCCTTTTGCGGGTCAGCGTCGGCTATCCACGCTGACCAAACGAAGAATGATCTTTCAGTAACGCCTGGTTAGATTGTGGTTATACTCGTTTCGTACCCACTAGATTAAGCAAGCCTTTTAATTACTGTTAGAGTTTCCTACATTTCTGGGATTTACTGTCTCCTGCAACCTCTTATGTTGAGCAGTATTTCAAGATCGCAGTTTGGAGATTAACGGACTAATTTTTATAGACATACTACAATAATGCACTGCACGTATAATGGTAGTTTCTTGGTGATGCAGAGAAGAAAACTAATCAATACCCACAACACAAAACAAAGGCGTCGGTTTCCGCAACACCAAGAAACACCCAAGATAAAATACAGAGTTCAGTGCTCCATAGAAAAGTTGAAGAGTACGTTTTTTTAGTCTCGACTTGAGCAAGAAAATAGAAGAGGAACAAAAACATTACGACAACGACCACATAAGCTGCCATGAACTGATCGGATGGACTCATGATCAGTGGCCAATTTAAAACTTTGAGCATCATCAATCAAAGGGTTCTTGATCCATTTTTTGCGAGAGATAAAGAGGCTTCACTATAAGAAATATATGAAAATGGCGCGTTGTAAATCTGTTGCACAAGGCGAATAGTACTGGGGTGCTGCATACTTGAGAGGTTTAACCAGCAAAAATCACTTTGTCGTTATACCCTTCTCACGAAAATAGTTTAGTTTAAACGGAAGCAGGGGAGTGAGATTGGAAGGGGCCACAAGCTTAAAATCTTGTTTCTTCCCAATATTACTTATTCAATATTTTACCGTTTCTGACTTTCTGTCCCGCCGCTTAATCCTCACAACCGCCACACGGTTACCATATTTGGAAGCCGATGTAGGCAGTACCCAATCGATGGCATGCTCCTCCTCGATCTGCATAATCCTTCACATCATACTCAGCCTCATTCAATAATTGTTAAATATATGAAATCATGATTTGTGACTCAGTAAGGTTCTCAACAGAAGAGGAAAACTTTCATTGTTTCCACCATGTTAAAGCGGAGAGTCGAAAAATCATCCACATTGATCACGCTGTTTATTTATCGAGCCAAGAATAAGTCGGTGAAGTGAGACGCAAACAATTCTTACGTGTACCAGTCACTGACCGGTTTGCAATTCTGCAAAACTTATCAATTCCCATTATGTCGCGTCGCATCGCAGTTAGATGTAGTGACACTCTCTTCGAACGTTTTTCCCTCTTGTTCGATTCACGATAACTGTGGAAATTTCTGTATTTTGGATAGCCGTTTTGCGAAGGCAGGAAGACGCTTAGGGCCTGTTTACATGGAGGTGAGGGTCCCCAGGTTAGTGAGGTGACCTACTTAGGTAGGGTAACCTGCCTGTCCATACAATCTAGTTACCCCCACCTATCATATAAACTTGATCAAATTAAAACGAGAGATTATATGGACAGGCGAGTTACCCACCTACACGTGAACAGGTCTTTAAACTGTGTACTTGAGGTCGTGCAATGTATTTGCATAATTATATCTGACCAACCTTCGTTATTTTGACTGCTTTTGCGTTCCCATTTTATTATTTTTTTTTTAGTTAAAAAGAGAAAACCTTTATTTAGCAATCCTATTGAAGTGGAATATTAAGTAACAGTAATATTTTATCAGCCTACCCCATAAAATGGCTTTTCAGCAGACTTTAAGATTGCAATTTAATAATTAACTTTACAATAGGTGAATTTTTTTTTGGCAAAAAAAAATGAAATAAGGAAATGACGCTTCTTCACTTCAGCCTTAAGCTGTTCGAGATTTTTCTATATTACCTGAAGATTCTGCAAAGTCATTCCAGAGGCGGACTGCTCATTGCCGCTGACCGGCAGTCAAACTAAAGGAAGGCATGTCTAACTTGTTTCTGTTTTCGATATTACGAGAGTGCGCATCGACCATTTTCTTAAACCTGTTGCAGATAACGGGCTGGGCAAGTCCCTTAACATGTGTTAAATAAATTCGTATTTTTTTAAGGCTTGTCAAAAAACGCAAGGTACGCGTTTTATCACTGGTTAAAAAATCTTACGCTTATTACGCTCGAATGTTAAACTCGTGATAAAACACTGCTGTTCGTGTTTTAAACATTAATAAACACGGAACGCTTTCAGACTAGAAAACGATTGTTTTTCTTTTTCCTGCATTGAGATACATTACCTTAGAATTAAACGCCAAAAACCAGTCACCAACAATTGACAATCAACTTGAACGAAATGGAATAAGAGTGATAAAAATTAGTTTGAAACAGCGTGGATACGCTTTTGTGTGGCGTTTTCGCTCCATGCCGTCGCAATCGTGCTTGCTTAATATGCTTCTTTTATGGAAAGAGACCGTCACTGATAGGGAGATCGGGTATGCCAAATATAGAGAATATGGTCTCTACGTCTCCGACTGAGAGGGACTAAACTTTAACGTCACTGAAATTCGCAGTAGGCTGCGAGATTAAAAGCTCACCGTTTGAAGAGAGAGCATCATGCCGCTAGCACGCAACCTCAGAGAGAAAAAAACTTTATAGGCGTTTCTTATTTTGCGCTTTTCAGCCTGATCATTATGATAACAAGCTTCAAGCGTATCTGACACTTGCTAGCTTGTTTTTATAAAGGGAAGATCTCCAGGAAGTCTAGACTAAGTTCGCTGCTTTCCGTTATTTGCTCTATTAGATTCCTTGACGCACACGGATCCGTGCAGAAGAAGAAAATGAAATTGCAGGCAATGAAAAAATCAAACAGGAATAGTTCATACTTCCTTTTGAGTTCGTAGCCATCCTCACTCAAGGGATTTTGAAACTCGACCTTGCTGCCAACGTTCCAAGGCAACCTTATAGCACAAGACCACCCAGTAAAATTTTTTTGTTTGTTTTACAGTTACAAAGGCAAAAAGTAAAAGGATTTTATTACCGACACCACGACGCGCGGGATTTGTGAGTTTTCTTAGATAGCCACATTTTCATAAACTAACTGAGTTATTCCTCGCGCGTTGATTGGATAATTTCTATCAATAAGAAGTGAACAGACATAAAATTTTAATTTCTGCAAGACGGAACACCCGCTTAGTACGGATACCCGTATATAAAGGACAGTTTCTAAAATTTACCCTTTAATACGGACACCGATTAATACGGACACAATGGACACTTTTCTGTGTCCTGAGGCACAAACTCTGTCAACCCTGCTATTTACGGGCACTGGCTATCTGCTTACCGT